ATAAAGCAGCATTTCGAAAAAAGTTATTATACTCATATTTTTTCGTTCTTACACAATTATAGGGGAATGCTAATATCATGCAATTATATCTTTACGTCGCGATGAAATGTCATACCGTCCGTCGCAGAATATAATAATATAGATTATAGACTAGTACAGGTCCGTCGGCTCGGGCCCATCGAAATAGCTGACGTTAGGTGGCGCTGAAGTGATGCACGGAGCCATATTAAGTAATATTGAGCTGTGAACCGATTATCTAGCAACTGAGCCGCAGCTCAACGGCTCTAGCTACTGTGAACTGAATATTTGAACCGGCTCTGAGCTGAGTTACACATAGTGAATAGTGTATGTGAATACGATCGTACTCATTAAACGTGTTTAGTTTTCATATTTTTTGCTCTTTCTCATAGTTATTTATCTCATATTATTTGACAGTAGTTATTAGTTTTTGTTAATTTTCGTATACGTTCATTTCTAGTCTTTTGTTTTAATAGTATTACTATAGTTTTAAATGTTATTAGTGTTTTAAGTGTATTCATGCAGTTTATAAACGTATTTTTTTTTAATCTAAGTGTATTATTTATTTTCGATTAAGTGGCAGTCCGACTTGGATAACGTACGTTGAGTTTCGGTATTCTGAGGGTTAAACTTGACACAGCCGCCCATGCTTGATTTGATTGATTTTAAAATGTAAAGGCATTATCAGATACACAAATGTATTTTATCATTGTTGACAGAATAAAGATGCCGAAGTAAAGCCTTATTAAAAAAATATTAATTTCCATAATAGAAAAAAGGTTTGTGTACCTATATAATTTGTAAATATTTTGTACAAAATGGCAGAGCCTAGACGCAGAAATGGCTGGGCCTAGGTTTTGTCAAAATACTGTTTTTCCATGATAAAATGCAGGCTTATGCTGGCTTAATGGTTTAGATTGGAGCTACTTTAGCAAGTGAGTAAATTTTAAAGAAAGCGTCAAAAGTAAATTAATAATAATTAGAGTAGGACAGAGAAATGAACAGGAAATAATAATTTGCACACTGCGGTTTCATGAGCTACTGTAGTCAATAATAATATTACACTATTTAATTCATCGCACTTTACAACGTCTACAACCGCTTAATTCATTTCATACTCGACCTCTCCTACGCGAACGCCACTCTGGTGAATTGTTGAACTGTTATTTACTGCTTACAGCAGCACATTTTTTCAGCTGGTCCCTGATATAAGACCGTTCTCCTTACCTCCACCCTCCATATTCTAAACAAAGTTTAGTTTGGTCTGACGTCCATCCGCCCATCCATCTGCCTCGCAGTATTATTAGTAATTAGCCGATTAGATCTAAGGCGTAGCTCGAGTTTCGTTCTTTGATTTATAATAAGTACCTATTTAAATTGTTATTGGCGAGCGTCATGTTTTGTGACTGTGGTATAAAAGCACGAGGTTGATAAAATAATATGAATAGCGCAATATGAAATGTTGAAATACCTTTATGTGAATTTACTTGTACAACGATTTTGCAAGTAAAATTGTTGGTCATATATAAACGCGAGAGATCCCATTCGTCATAATGTATGTATGTATGTAAGTATTAATTTTTATACCAGAGATATAGATACCTGCCTATGTATTTTTTAATGTTGAGTGAAACTTTGAGAAATTTGAATTTAATTAAAAAATTAAACTTTACGTTAATTTATATTGAGACAGTTGTCATATATGAAAATTATTAATAGCTAATTCTAAATCGGTTCAGTACTTTTCGAATCGGTGCGTGAAATGCACACAGACATACAGTCAAACAGACATACCTACAGATAAACAAACATACAGACAAGAGATTTAATAACTATGGTTTTGGTGTATATTCTGTAAATAATACGTTAAAGTCATTGTTTTTTTTTAAACCATGTATAGATTTAGTGAAGTTACTATTTAGCAAACCTATTCCACGGGAACAATACATTTTTCTGGGATAAAAAAGGAAGTGTAAAAGTAACAAACATCCATACTCACAACCTTTCACATTTTAAATATTTATACACATATAGATTAATCATATAGCAAATACTGCAGAATGCTAAATAGAAGAAAAATAAAAACTTTTTAACAAAAAAATAAAAACCGACTTCAAACAAAAGCACTAAAAAGTAAAAAATAACTGATTGGTAGTTTTCATTTACTATACATACCTAATCAAATATTTTCGAAGTCGGTGTGCTTTGCTTTGTATGGGCTGGCACCGATTTCGAAAATATTTGACTAGGTATGTATTTAATAGGTAGGCTTTAATTACTTAGCCAAAGCACACCGACTTCGAAAATATTTGATTAGGTATGTATAGTAAATGAAAACTACCAATCAGTTATTTTTTACTTTTTAGTGCTTTTGTTTGAAGTCGGTTTTTATTTTTTTGTTAAAAAGTTTTTATTTTTCCCTTTTTAGTGTAAACAGTAGTAGCATAGTAAGAATTCTAACGTGTTAGGCTTGTCAAATCAAACAAAATAAGCCCAAACTCAAAGTATCTACTATTAGCCGTTGAAGAGTTCCACCTATCCACCTTCTGGCCTTGCCATCAGATCAGGTCAACAACACCGAACCACTGTACTATCAACGGAAATAGAAATACTTGCAAAATTTCAAGTCAATACGACAATTAGAAGTAGGTTAAATTCATCATTAGTTGTTTTTCCACCCTTAGGAGGTGGTTTTTTTTTTGAAATTTAAATGGGACCAATCTGGAAGTATACCCTTTCAAGCAAAACAAAAATTGTCCAAATCGGTTAATAAATGACGGAGTTCTGAGGTAACAAACATAAAAAAAAACATACAGTTGAATTGAGAACCTCCTCCTTTTTTGAAGTCGGTTGACAAAATAGAACAGACCGCTGCACACGATTCGGGTGGACGTTGGACAGTGGGCGGGACTTTTTGAAGAGATGTCATGTCAGTGATTGTTATATTACAATCTTGAAAAAATCTTCACAAATGGCTACCTTACCTGCATGTCTGAGAAAACCTATCAAATTTTCGAAAGACATGTGAAGTCGGTGCCAGCCGATGCAAAGCAAATCTAATATATTTTGATACGTAAAATACATATTTACCTATTAAATATTAATATCTTAAAATATTGTAGGCTGGCACCGACTTCGAAAATATCTGATTAGGTTAGAGGATTCTAAATGAAAACCTCCGTTTAGTTATTTTTTATATTTTAGTGCCTGGAAGTCGGTTTTTATTTTTTGTTAAAAAGTTTTTATTTTTTCATTTTTAGTGTAGACGTAATAAGCAGGTAATTTGTAAGAAGAAAGTTTTTTAATAACATATTCGATTAAGCAATTTATTTGAAAAATATATTTATTGTTGTTTTTTTTAAAAAACCGCTCGACTGATTTCGATAAAATTTATATGGGACCACCTGGGAAGTATACCCTATGAAACAATTTTTTTTTATCCAAATCGGTTCAGGCGTCTTCGAGTAATCGGTGATACATACATAAAAAAAGAAAAAAAAAAGATTCCGATAAATTGATAACCTCCTCCTTTTTGGAAGTCGGTTAATAAAAAAAGCTTATTAGACATAGAATTTTGAAAAAAATCTTAATATAGAGACACAAAATCTCAACGATTTTTACTAGAAATAAAAATATATAGGTAGATAGTAATAAAACTTACTAATATATACTCACTAGTGTTTTCACGTGGTTTCGCTGGCTTGTTACGTATATCAATAGGAAATAGCAAACGTTTAATCTAAAATATACTTAATCCTAATAAATAACATACTCGTAAATTCCGAATTTTACTCAAACCATCAATCACACTTTCGCATTTTATGTCTGTCTGTGTTGGATAGGGACTCAAGTATCTGTTTTCTACAAGCATCAAAAGAAAATAATGAAAGCCTTGCGTTGTAATCGAACTCGCGACCACCGGTATAAATTGGGAAGTATTTTCGGACATGTTTATCAAACATAGTTATTTAATTTATTATTTTAATTTACAGAAATATAAACGCTAAGTTATAAGTATTATTGTATTAATTTACCTGCGAGGATAAAGCTTGAAATAGCAAAATAATAATATAATAAAAGTTTACTCAACCTACTTAGGTACTGTACCTATAGGTACTATAATATATTGTATTTTGGTACAATTTTTTTTAATTATTTTTAACTCAGTGATTAATTAAGTTTTATGTTTTCATAAATCTAGAAATATCAGACAATTTGAGTTTGTAAATTAATTTTACTTTCAAGTTTTTCTTTTTTTATATTATCTACTGCAAGTTATTAAGCAGCAACAGATTAAATAGATATAATATTAAAAATAAATATGTAGGTATGATATTAAAAAAATACAGAATGTTTAAATATTTTTATTTATTTATTTATCTAATTAGTATCTACTAAAATTTTAAATACCGCCAAAACTACCTCCAATTTTAACTATTTTCTAAACGTAATATATTAAATAATATGACAAAATATTTTTTAACGTCTGACGGAACAATATGGCTGAAATCAAAGATTCAAACGGACAATGTTCATTGAAATTACACAATTTAGGTAATAAGTATGAAGTGTTTGTTCGTAACGTTCATGGAGTTTCTATAAGACTTAATCCAGTGAGTCCTCGCCACACTCACTCTAAACTTGTAATTATTCAAATTATATCCATTGACCTAATTGCTACAACATTAGACGTAATGATTTTGACCTTTAAGAAACAAGTTTTAAAAGTATGTTTTAATTTCGTTTCATCCCCGCCACCACCGACTGCAGGTAGTCGGCTATTTACTCATACTGTTGAACAAAACTTTTATATGAAAACCAGCAGTTTCTCTATAGAAACACTGCTTCACTTATATCTTAGAACATATGTATAAAATTGAGTATTAAAGCTTTAGTAACATGAGAAGAACTCATGTACCAGCCTCTTCAATAATTCATTTGGATCACTAGTTATTTTAAATAGAAATGAGTATGATCTGTTATCTTCTCCGATTTATCTCATTATCTTGGGTGGCAGGCGCCGGCGTGGTGGTGGTGGTGGTCGTCCGGGTGGTGGTAGGTCTGCGCGTGGTAGTGGTGGTGGGAGGGTCCAAGCCTTTGATTTCGAATTGCCCGCGGAACAGAGGTCGGAACAATCTCAAGAAAGACTGATATCGTACTGCTGTGTTCTGTAATGCAATACAACACGTACATTTCATATTTATTCTCCTTTTGTACTATTCGATAATATGAATAGATTTTTGATAAAATGAAAGATTTATATCGATTTAAAAAAAAAACTAGTTTCAGAAATTGAAAACTTGTGATTCATTAATTTACGATAAGTTCTACAATTTGAGTAACTTATTTATTTAACTTTGGAAAAATCTACATTATTCACAAATCACTTCGAATGTTGTAGTAACACTTCTTATAAGAATAATTATATGGTAATTTAAACTCAGTAATTTTATATATATATATATATATATATATATATATATATATATATATATATATATACGACTATGTAGGTGATGTTGAGATGTTTTCTGTTTCTAACAATTGCATCTAAGTGTAAACAAATTGTTTGTCCAAAATCTACTTGAGATGCGAACACTACCTGTACTACATCGCCGAGAATTTTAGTGGTACGGATGAGGAGCGACACGGATGGTCCAAACAGGCTCCCCGGGAAGTCCAGACTGACTTTGTTGCGGTCGAACACGGGGATGTCGTCTGTGGGCGCGGCTGTCGTCTGGCGCGCCGCCCTCGTCAGATCGCGGGTATTCGACCAGCTCGACGCGCTCTGCGTGTCCCGGGCTGGCCGTGTAGCCGACGAACTCGGGCGCAACAGTGTACTGGCCGGTGACTTCGAGCGGTCTGTGGCCTGGAGCCTCCACGTAGCGCCACTCTGCGCCACACCGGAACAATCAACAACTAGCAGGTACAACACGCTATAGCGCCCTAGCATCCCGTCGCGCACACTTTGTTACTGATATAATTGAATGTATGTATGTGTGTATGTATATTGTGTAAATGTAAAGTCCATGTGGAGTGTTGATTAAATAATATTTTTTCAAAATTTACTTACATACGCCTTCGTGAATCATATTTGGAGACTGTGTTTATTTATCTATTATAAAGAAAACTTTTCCATACCAACAACTCTAAAGATTGTTAGACGTATTGAATGAATGAAAGAAGAAGTTTTCTGTAAACGATAATTTTAGTGGATTATTTATTTTTTGAGGTCTATAAACTGGTAATTTGATATGACAAACAAATTTCTATTCGAAATTAAAACAATTATCTTTATAAAAATTAAACAACTAGATGGATTTCAATTATTTATTCTTCAGGTACATGTCGGTATAAGATAATAGCCAATGGACAGTCTTGAACGCTCTCAGCGGAAGTTATCGTGGTTTCCGGTTACCTCTACATTCTACACTGAGGGTAATCACCATAATCTCAGATTTATTATATGGCAAAATTACGTGCAAATTTTACGTGTTAATCAATCTACGGTGATAATAAACTACGATTCTTATGTAAACAGTACTTGTTGCAATCTGTTTAGTCTATTATTACTGAAAGTGTTTTTTACTCCACACGGCACGGTACAGTGCATGGACTTCGGAAGAGCTACCGGCAACTAACAAACTACTACTCATGCATGAAGGCGCTATATGCGTGTTTTATTTCTGTCTGAGAATGGTAATTGTATAATTGATTAGGTTTGATGGTAGGTCTTTTATATATATATTATTTTATTATTTATTTATTTTATTTTATATATATATATATATATATATATATATATATATATATATATATTATTTTATATATAGGTCTTTTGCCAGTGATCATTAAGAAGGAATTTTGATGCTATCACTTTTATCTTAACATAATTGTGTTTCAAACCAGAGCAAAAACTGAATTCTGAAATATATTCCTTTATGTTTCTTAACAGTTAGGTTTTTTAGCTATTACTATTTTTGAACACTAATTTAGTATAAAACGTCTGAAATGGTACTTACTGATTGGGGAAATTTTAATTTTACATTCAAATCAAACAACACGTAGAATATATTTATTTACAATGTACAATATTATTTTATTTACACACATAATATTAGTGTTAGACGCATTTGAATCAAATTGTAATATAATTAAAAAAATATCTTCATAATATAAGTAAGAATCGGGTTGGTATTAGTATTGAAGAAGAACTTTTATGCGATAGAATGGAAAACATTCAGTTATGCTTTTTATTTACATAGCCTCTGGCTAAAAGATATTATGTATATTTAGTTTAGAATACGAGAATATGATACATAGATGATGTATATAGATTTATTTTCTTGTTTGATTTTGTAAAATCGAAAGATTTTATGGCACTAATGTATAAATGGCGTTTACTTATATTCTCTGGTGTTACAAAATGTTGTAAAACTCGGTTGAATCAAGCTTCTGTTATTGATTAAAGAAGATTCACTAGAAATAGACTAGAAGAAAGGACTAGTTTTAGACTTTATTGTCATCATGATAGCTGTTTTATAACCGTTCATTGTACGAATTTAGTTAACTATACAGCGCAGAATTCTATCCAGAACTGACAACGGCCGAACAACAACTATTTTCCAAGATAATACTTTCTTAGTTTTACGCGAATATTTAACATTTTAAATAAAAAGTATCTTTTCGGATTATTTCGCGGATTTATTTTGATTTTTGGTTCCACCAATCCGCGCAATAATCTGAAAATATAGTTTTATTTATTTTTCAAGATTTTGACCTACACTTGAATACGCAAAATACAACAATGAATCAATCAATTCAACTACAAGCATGCACTACATACTACTCTAAACATGCACCAGCGTGTTTTACAGTCCTATCCTATCTACACTCGTGTACTGTATTCAAAAATGAGACTCAGCATTTTTTTTATTTTCACTTGTAATAACAAACAGTAAGATAAGAAGAGTGGTGCGTGCAAATAAAGGGTACTGTGCAGCAAAACAAACAAATTAATAAAAAAAAACACATATATTATATAATTCACCAACACTCACCTAAATCTATTTACATATAAATACAATGCGCTGAGAGCGCGGTTCAGAAGCGCGGGCGCCACTGGGTCTGTACACGTGCGTCGCCCCGATGCATTGCGGCGCTCCAAGCGATCTTACGCGGGAAACGAAACAACGGCCGCCTCACTAGATGTGAAGCATCTGTTACAAGGAACGCAACGGCAAGAACAAGGAATCGGCGCAAAACGTCGGAGCGAGGCACAAGGAAGTGAAAGCGATCAAGAGTCGTCCTCCTCGGAGGAGTCAACGGTCTCGACGGTGCCGCCCGCTGCGGCACCCCCGGACGAGGAGCCAGACAAGGACGTCACGAGCGAGAGGATGGAGCCCAGGCCGGAGCCCCCACCTGAGCCGCCGCTGCCGGACGAGCCGCCGGACGCGCCACCCAGCAGTCCTGACACCGCCTGGATCTTGGGCCCCAGCAGCTGTAGCTTAGGCCCAATCACCTGTCCCACGATGCCGCTGAGCGAGCTCAACCCTCCTCCTTTGGGTGCTTCGATCCCATATTGCTTATTCAGCTCGATGTTCTGACGGTCTAGTGACTCGACCAGTCTAGTCTTTGAGTCGATCAACGAGTTGATTTTCTACAAAAAACGGAGCTATTACTTGTTATTCTAGAAGGGAAACATGATCTTAGTCTCGAACCTTAGTATACTTACTCCGAATACGAAGCCGAGGACGGCGTTCTTGATACCGAACTTGGCCTGCGTGACGCCTTCGAGCTTTCGCTTCTCTCGGGCCTGGTCGTCGCTCGACGCGTCCTGCACACATACACACACACCCGTCACTCCCACTGCACTACAGTACACAACACACACCACCATAAACCAGACACCACAATTTGTATGTACCACCACCAATAATAACTTGCATTCAATAAAATGATATGAAGGCTCTTCTTAACTCCCTTTATACTTTAAATCAAAATTGGAACAGGATAATAACATTACATCCCTAAGTATTTGTAAATAAAGTCACGTACGCCACCGCCCACCGGTGGTTCGGACGCACGGGCGCGGACGACGCGGACGACGCAGGCGGCCGGTCTGCTGTTTGACATGCAAACAGCATCCATTACTTTTGAAGGTTATTTAAGCGCGTCGTATTATGCCTATCTTATGTATATAATTGTGAATTTAGGTAGATGCTCGTAGAGAGCACTAGGTTCCAATAACCCGCACGAGCGAGCGCGGTTGCGCAAGCGCATGCAGCGTCGCGAGTGTGTGATGTGTCAATGTCGGACGCCGACGCCGGCTCACGGACATCGCTTTTCGTTTACTGCAATACACGTTTCATAGCCACTCATATTACTGACCGTTTGGCAACTATCAATTAGCAAAGTTTACTATTTAGTGTTTACTTTATTCTATCGCCATTGCTACGGCTATTTCTATCTATTTTTTTGATTAATACTTACTACATCAAAAAAATATACAAATTTAACTCCCAAAATATTTATTTGAACATTGTATATGTGTTTTTACTTGATTGACACCTTTACAGGTACACCTACGAGTATCTATTCAACATTTAAATTAGGACAAACAGGCGAGGCAAGTCGATGTAGGTTGTTCATCAAAAAGTCACCGCCTATCACCATTCACTGCACGTCCCTTTTATCAATATTATCTATTGGAAATAAAACTTTTGATTCGAATGTCTAACTGTTATATTTTAACTTTAGTGTTGTTCAAGAAACATTATATTAGTAATATTAAATGAATTATAAGTATTTAAAACAAAATAAATGTGCAGATGGCAAGTTTCGCGAATCTAGACACTAGGCAGGGCGGCACGGGTCGAGGCCGCCCGCCTTTCGCGCCCGAGTAGCACCAGCATCGTCTTAATTTACTCTGTATTGTATATATTTTGCGCTGTGGTAATGATAAATTATAGAGTATAATGTACTGTATGACTTTGTTACAGTAATAGTGGAATTTTTTAAACGACAAAAAGACAAAATATTTATTAAATGCCAACTTTAAAATTAGTAATTACAAAACTCACGCGATATGTTAATAAAATTGTAAATAACAATTTCGCAATATGTAAAGGTAACCTTACTCGAATACGAGTACTGCCTTTCCCCTGACTGCTAGTATAGCTGCTGTGTAAACGTACCTGCGAGTAGAGTGTTTCCTTATATTTTATGCTTTATGTCAAAAAGAAACGAAATTCTAGTTATAATTTTTATTTGTGTAAACTAAAAAGATTTTTTTTTATATTTTATGTTTCCTTAGTTAACGTTTGGCATCTATATATATAATAAAATTGTAACTGAGTCGAATCTGTACATTAAATATTTTTTGGAAAATCTAATTAAAATAGACATTATTATCGATACAGAGTTCGAATCTATAGTTTTTAGAATTTTATTGTGTCTGTCTGTCTGTTACCGCATCACGAGAAAACCAATGGATCAATTTTAATAAAATTCGGTATAATGATATCTGGTTATCCGGGTCAACATATAAGATACTTTTTACCGCGGGAAAATATCTCATTTCTGAGAAAAAATACAAAAACTGCAATGTAATGGTATACTAATAGGTAAAACCTAAGAATTTAGTTTTTGGTCATTTGAACGCGAGCTGAGCCGCGGGCAATGCTAGTGTAATATAATAACAACGTATGTAATTAGAAACATGGAATGAATTTGCATAAAGCATACAAAATTTATCCTTAAAGATCACTGCTATTCTGGAGTACTAAAACGGCGTGTTTTTGACATATTTTTAGCATCCGGATCCGGATTATTTAAAAAATATGTTTTATGAAGCCTTACATAATAGACTTCTTTTAATGAAGGGCGCAATCACAGGGTTTTCCTACTCGTGAATAATTTAGTGGAATGCATTACACAGCGAGAATATAATAGGTGCTGTATCATATATCGGCAGGTAGCAGCGCGGCGTATCGACACTTGTGTAAGCTCGTGGGAACTGTCCCAAGATTTTTTTAATGCACTTTCATAAGCGTGTTATCTACTCCTGTGAGGAGATTGAAGGAGAGAGGTACGAGAGCTGCGCGGGGGGTGGTATATTGTTTGCCCCGTTCACTTTCGATTGTTTCCTACCAGATGCTTGACAGTTTACTCAATAAATCACAATGGTTATTGTTCATCTACAAAGCAATTTGCGAAGTTCTCTCATAAGACAAACTATACTGATCTATACATATAATAAAATTGTAACCAAGTCGAATCTGTACATTAAATATTTTTTGGGGAATCTTATTGAAATAGACATTATCGATACAGTCCGAATCTATAGTTTTTAGAATGTTTGTCTGTCTGTCTGTTACCGCATCACAAAAAAACCACTGGAGAGATTTTGATGAAATTTGGTACGGTGATAGCTGGTTATCCGGATCAACATATAGGATACTTTTTACCGCGGGAAAATGTCTTATTTCTGAGAAAAAATACAAAAACTGTAATGTAAGAGTACTTATACTAATGTGTAAAACCTAAGAATTTGGTTATTGGTCATCTGAACGCGGGCGGAGCAGCGGGCAATGCTAGTTTTACCTATGAAGTGGTTCTAGTCGACTAGCCAACAGTAGGCCCAGGTGACGCTGATTGTGAAGCAGGCAGCAGCTGTGTCCGATATAGGAAGTGCGCGGCGACACTCGACGGCTTGGTTTTGACGTTCACCTTGACTTGCGTAATGTTTTCACTTGCTTATATATTAGGTATTCCAAGTTTCGAATAGACATTGTTATGTCAATACTTCCTACTGCTGGTATTTAATAATAAGTAAGAGACTCAGTTGGAAAGAAAGGCAGTGGTAGCCCAGTGGTAACGCGCTCGCTTGAGAAACCGAGTGAAGCGGGTTCAAATCCCGGGTCTCGCACCTCTGATATTTTCATGTGCGAATCATTTCTAACATGATTACCACATGCCTTACGGTGAAGGAAAACATCGTGAGGAAACCTGCATGTCTGAGAGAACTTAGCAAGTTTTCTAAAGACATGTGAAGTCCGCCAACCCGCACTTGGCCAGCGTGGTGGACTATGGCCTGATTCCCCTCGTACTGAAGGGAGGCCCGTGCCCAGCAGTGGGACGATAAAAAGGGCTGAATACACAATACACAAGAGACTCAGTGTAGCTGTTAGTACCGACCATAGGAAAATAGAAGATACTAGCAGAACCCGCGGCTTCGCTCACGCTAAAACTACAAAAAACTTAAAAAAAACCGACTTCCAGGCACTAAAATTTAAAAAATAACTAAACGGGGGTTTTAATTTTGAATAGATACCTAATCAGATATTTTCGAAGTCGGTGCCAGCCGATGCAAAGCAAATGTAATATATTTTGATACGTAAAATACATAATTTACCTCTATTAGATATTCGTATCTTAAAATATTGTCGGCTGGCACCAACTTCGAAAATATCTGATTAGGTATCTATTCTAAATGAAAACACCCGTTTAGTTATTTTTTACATTTTTCAAGTCGTTTTTTTTTTAGTTTTTATTTTTCCATTATTACTGTAGACGTAATAAGCAGGTAATTTGTAACAAGAAAGTTTTTTAATAACTTATTCGATTAAGAAATTTATTTAAGAAAATTACTTATTATGGATTTTTAAAAAAACCGCTCGACCGATTTCGAAAAAATTTATACCACCTAGGAAGTTTCCAAATCGGTTCAGGCGTCTTCGAGTAATCGGTGAACGTACATAAAAAAAAGATTCCGACGATTTGAAAACCTCCTCCTTCTTGGAAGTCGGTTAAATAAATGTGCTAAAATACGTATTTATGTAATTTTATTGAAGAACATTAATACCGAGTTTCAAATAATTATTTTGATCATAAATATATTTTTGGATTGTATTATAACATGTTTTCCCGTGGGAATTGGATAATTTCCCGCGATAAAAAATACTAATATACTAACTCACGCCAATCCGTCACTCCGTTTCGTCGTGAAAGAAGGACAAACAAACACACTTTCACTTTTATAATATTAGTATGAATTTCTACTACGCATGAATGTACATACGTACATGTTATACTATGAAAATATGTCTCGTTACCGACAACTAAAGCGCGATGGTTACAATTTTAATATATTTCAACAATTACGTTGGGACGTTGGGACATTAACACACAGCACCATCTAGTTCCATGGTAAGCTACGAGGCTTGTGTTATGGATACCAGATAGTTGATACACTACACATATATAACTTTAAATACATACATATTATAAATATAAACACCCATGACTGGAGTACAAACCTTCGTCGTCACACAAATGAATGCCCCCAGCGGGATTCGAACCCGCGACCGCTGGCGCAGAAAGTAGTGCCACTACAAACTGAGCCAAACTGAGCCAAACGTGTGTCCAAAACTTTATGACTCATCAAAAAATTATAGGCTCGTAACGTTAAATTACTTGTAAAGATGGCTAGTTATTGCAGTACATTGTTCGCTAGAAGCATTTATTAGCTAATACAGAGATTATAAGCTTGTGTAAAATGTTTTTGATATAATATTATAATCTATTACGAAATTTCTAAGTCACCAATTCATCTGACCCAAATTAAATGAACTGGTTCTTCTAAATTGCATTAACACGCTGACATAATGATAATGAAGTATAGTCAGCTTACGTAGAGATATTTTAACATTATATTCTAATTTGGTACATCATTCAAAGAATCCATACTATTATTTTAATATTATTCCCTCAACGACCGCGGACACGCCGGCGTTACAGTTAACAATAGATTTCTTAGAAATTTACCTGGAGGTTTTAATCTGAAAGTAAGTTTGTGTGTCCTTCTTTCACGTCGAAACAGTGTGACGGTTTGGCGTGATTTTTTATATGGAGATAGTTGGAGGGCTGGAAAGTGATATCTAAGGCTACTTCTTACCGCGGAAGATTATCTTATTCCCATGGAAGAACACGTTATAATACAACCCACAACAACTCATCATACCTATGTATATAATATATAGGCTATCTAACTGCCTCGGTGGTGTAGCGGCTAGCATGTACGGCTGCACACTCGGAGGTCCTGGGTTCGAGTCCCGGGTCGGGACAAGTTTAGTTATTGAGTTTTTCTGTATAGTTAGCCTCAGTAACAGCCCAGAGTTGGGAAGTTTGTGGTGTTTCACCCCCGTGCCTCGGCGAGCACGTAAAGCCGTCGGTCCTGCGACTCAACTCTCACTGGTCGTGTCGAGTGATCGTCCCACCGGAGTATGAGAGTGACAGGAATAGAGAGTGCACGTTGTGTCTGCGCGTACACTTGTGCACTATAATATCTCTTGCGCAGTTGGCTAGTCTCGATGAGATTGGCTGCCGTGGCCAGAACCGGCTAGGAGAACATCATCATCATCATCATCATATGGGCTATCTATTCCATACTAACCGTTAAGACGTACCTAGGGAAGAACCCGAGCGAAGCAAGGGTGAGTCACTAGTTTTCTATAAATAAAATCATCGCGTAACTCAATAAGTCTAACAAAGTTGTTATAAGCTGATCAAAGTATGTGAGACTTATATTACGATTTGAGTGAGATTCGAAATGAATATTACAGGTTACTTGAACCATGTGCTAGATAAATTTATTTTTTTTAGGGTTTTCTTAACCCTCGACACAAAAAGAAGGGTGTTATAAGTTTGACGTCGATGTCTGTCTGTGTGTGTGTGTGACTTTCTGTGGCATCGTAGCTCTCAAACGGATGGACCGACTTCGATACGGTTTTTATCATTTGAAAGCCAGTTTCCTTGGGTGGTTCTTAGCTATGTTTGGTTAATATCGGTCCAGCAGTGTAAGAGTATCAGCTTTTTTCCAAAATGATGTAAGGCATTTGGCGTATGATTACTCGATTAAGTGCTTCACGCGTGCCAGTGTAATCGTTAAATGACAATTAATTTGCGTAGGGAGCTTTTTAAATTTTTTATTTATAATTATTAATATAAATTTGTTTCCTATAAGTCAAAGTGTAAAGCTCATGCTTTCTCTTTATTTAGTAAGACAAGCTCAATATCCTCACAGTAGGATAATTATTAATATTAAAAACATATTAAATTTAAGTCTAGACTGTCTGTGTTTCAATACCTATATTCTAGAAACATAATAAATGAAATGTAAACTTGAAATAATTTTGGTTTTTGGTAATCTAAACGCGGGCGGAGCCGCGGGCCATGCTAGTAAACAATAAGGTAAGGCAAAAAGACACCTAGGGCCGCTCCCGAGCGTGTTGGATAAAATTTATCGTACAAGTATTTGGGATAGATAAAATTTTACATCTTAAGCGTGAACTATAATAAAATTTCGCAACATAGTCTGTTATAGTAATAGTTATATTCTGTTTGAATTTTTGTTTTTTTTTTTCAATTTACTCGTAATTCAAAAATATATCGATTCTTTGGAAAAGAAAAGAGTGGAGAGAAGTGTATCTCGGCTTATGGGGGACTGTGGTAAGGTAATGCACATGGGCGCGTGTCGTGGTATTTACATAAAAATGCTATAAAGTAGCCAGCTGTGTAGTGTGATGAGCTAAGCTAAGTGTGTCAACGAGATATTTTATACTCGCACTATGCGTAAGACCTTGAATTAAATTGAAAAACTTGTGAGAACGCGAGTTGACTGAGATATTGACTCGACTAGGAATAGACGTATTTAGGGTTGTTACGTAACGAATCACGCCAGGCATAAGTAAATTACTTTAAATATAATATTAAATCCAAATTTTCGATATCATAGAGATGACATAGAAAGATAAGTTTTACATCCCTGAGAATGTGAATTCGCCGCGATTCAAGCGAAGCATCATTCTTATGTCATAGTTGTTTCATAATTACGTTTACTTACAGCTAAGAATATTACACAAATAATAAGTTTATTAATTATGTAGACGTAAAGAAATAGTACTCTTTAATTATTTATATTACTAATGAAAATTATTTTTGTATGCAGGGCCGGATTTAACCTTAGCGCCGCCCCTGGGCACAGTAAAAAAATTCCGCCCTATTATCGAAACTTAAAAAAGTTTAAATTTTTTTAATTATTAATTTTTCGAAAAATGCCAAAAAAATAATAATTTATAAATTATATCAATTTTTCAAATAATGTACCTACAAGTTAATTTTTTTTTACCTTTCATGTTTTTGGTAAATAAAAAAAAGCATTTTCGATAACGCGAAGAAAAATTTTTCCCACCCTCCGAATTTTGCCGCCCCTAAAAATTTGCCGCCCTGGGCACTAGCCCCGAGTGCCCCTAGTGTAAATACAAGGCTGTTTGTATGGAAAGTATTATTGTGCAGTGTTAGCGGCGCAGAATGGGGTTAAATGCGAGACAGGATGCTGCGGCCAGATGAGTAGAGTTGATCGATCACGATTAACGAAAACGGTATATTTTTTGACAAATGAATTTATATAGTGAGGACTTTGTTAAAGTTGATATAAGCTTCTAACGGTTCGTGATCAGTCAACATTACTGACAGGCGCGAGCGGTGTATGCCGGTGGTACGGACTCTTTTTTGAGACGATCTGCAATGGCACATTTGCATACCTACACACACTCGCCTCATTTATGATATAAATAAATAAATAATAAATAAATAAATATGTTTGGACATTAACACACAGCACCATCTAGTTCCATGGTAACCTACGAGGCTTGTGTCATGGATACTAGATAGTTGATACAGTACATATATATAACTTTAAATACATACATGTTATAAATATAAACACCCATGACTGGAGTACAAACATTCGTGCTTATCACACAAATGAATGCCCCCAGCGGGATTCGAACCCGCAACCGCTGGCACAGCAAGTAGGGTTACTACACACTGAGCCAAACGTGTCGTCTATAGTCAATTAAAAGTTTTTATATACAAATAAGAATGAAGCGGGTCATGTAACTGAGTATCAGTCTTATATAATATATAGGTACATGTTTCGAACAATGCGAAGAGCTCAGCTGCAGCGCGGGAAAGCGCGGTGATAGTTTTAACAATATTCACGATATGGTTTTTTATAGTTAACATGTGGCCTTTAATCAAACTGAGAACGTCAATGAATTTTCCAAATTATGATTTACAAAAGTTTGTTTTAATAATATAATATGTTTTACTCCTCTTTGATCATAGACCACAGTGCTTTCTGATGAGGTGCATTTAATAATGAATAAAATTAATTACTTAATTATATTAATTTATTTATTTAATTTTCGAGTAAGTAGCGATAGATGAAAATGAAAGCTATTATTTTTGTAATACGGAAAAGTTAAAAAATTAACTATGATGGACAAAATTGCATGTAGGTCATAACCTACTTTTACCTCTTGAAAGTGCACGAATATTTGCAAATGGTTATTAATAGGATAAAATTATATATATTATGCTTGGTAAAATTTGATGAATTTAAAAGATCCTTTCAGCGGTGTTGAGGTAAGTTATAGAAGAAAAAATGCAAGTTTTTTTTTCTTAATTCGGCACAGATAAACTAATGACGTTTAAATTATTATACATATGGAATTTGAAAAAAAATCATTGTGATATTTATGAATGAAAAGCGATATAGTAGGTATTGTTGTGCTTACATCGAGCGGCTGTAGGGTGTTGTCGTCGGCGAGTTGCCTGCGCAGGCGCAGCGCGGCGTGGCCTGCGGGGTGGGAGGGGCCGGCGGCGGCGTGCGCAACGAGCAGCGCAGCGAGCAGGGCGACGAGCGCGAACACGGGTAGGCGGGTGGGCGACATGCTGGACCGATTGGCACTGTCACACTGTGCTTGGCAGGTCGGCTCTGCCCCGGCAGCGCCGCGCCACCACCGTGGGGGGGCGCCTCTCTGACGCAACCCGCGGCTGCACTGGATGCTCCGACCACATACACCACTGACCACTGATAACTCTACATGCTATCCTCGAATGTATCAGCATCGTATTTTATTGAAGGCTCTTAAGGAATACTCTATTTTTATGTTTTTTGTTTGTTTGTTTGTTTGTTCGATACTATTAATTCAGCCTTTTTAACGTTCTACTGTTGGGTACGTAACTAATGAAAATTATTTGAATTATATTTATATATATAAGCAATATATTATTATTTTATATGATATATAGTAGCGATTTTATATAATATACTAGTTTTATTCTCCATACAAATTTTCATCCCCGTTGTCCTCCCCCCATCCCCTATCCCCGTTGTCACCCCCTTAAGGGATGATTTCCAGAAAAAAAATATCCTTTCTCCTTCCCAGGGTCTCAAATTCTTCTTACCAAATTTCATCTAAATCGGTCCAGTGTTTTTGAGTTTATTCGTGACAAACATATAAAAATACAAATCTTTCCTCTTTATAGTAGTACTGGAGATGGTCATTGATGTAGATTATAGTCATTTTTACACTACAATCTATTAATTTAGATTAACTCTAACGTTCCATTTTTGACTACAAAGAAATGTCTGTTTAAGTTGCACACATACATGTAATCACATTATGTATGATGTGCATATAATTTGGATGATCAATTTTTTTTTATTTATTCAGACTTTTTTCTTTTTTTTCAATGTATGCGTACTCTGTTGTCCATTACATAAGATATCATAATAGAGTAATCTAATATTGGCCAATTTGTTAATAACTTTGTGCTCAAACTATATTTTATTATTTTTGTAACGCTGTAAGATTACCAAATAAATAAATAAAGAGATAAGTTCTTGTTTTAATAAAAAAAAAAATTTTTTTTTACTTCTTATTTTTTTCAAAAAAGGAGGTATAAACGTCATAAATTAAACAAGTGTACGATAGATATCATATCAATAGATAGATATATAAAGATAATGAATTCGTTGTTTTTTGTTTAAAAGCACTAATTGACTATCTAACATCATCTAAAATATTTGTTAACTAGCGACTCACCCTCGCTCCGCGCGGGTTTTTCTCTACTTAGGTTTTAATGTAACTAACTTTTTTTTTTAAATAACTAGCTATCATCATGCCAAATTTCATCAAAATCCGTTTAGTGGTTTTTCCGTGATGCGGTAACAGACAGACAAAGAGACAAAAGTTCTAAAAACTATATATTTGAACTCTGTATTGATAAAAATGTCTATTTCAGTAAGATTTTCCAAAAAATATCTCATGTACAGATTCAGCTCAGTTAGAATTTTATTATATGCATAGAAAATTGCATTTGACAGCCTAATTCTTGAGGAAGGTTATAGATACTCTGACATCATGCTACGACCTTTAGGATGGACATAGTTGTATATAAATAGATTACGCGAGGGGAACCGCGGGACTCATTGTATGTATGTATTCAGCCCTTTTTAATGTCCCACTGCTGGGGGTGGGCCTCCCTTCAATACGAGGGGGATTAGGCCATAGTCCACCACGCTGGCCAAATGCGGGTTGGCGGACTTCACATGTCTTTCGAGAACTTGCTAGGTTCTCTCAGACATGCAGGTTTCCTCACGATGTTTTCCTTCACCGTTAGGCAAGTTGTAATCATGTTAGAAATGATTCGCACATGAAAACATGAGAGATGCGAGACCCGGGATTTGAACCCGCTTCAGATGTGCAGCCGTACATGCTAGCCACTAGACCACCGAGACAATTAAAACTTTGTGTAAATAATACTCGTACATGTTAATACGAGTTATATCAGTATGCTGCTTTTTCCAAACGCTTGTTTCATTGCAATATAATACTCGTATGTAATGATGTAAGGTGATTAAAGGTAAAAGGTGGCATTTGATATATGTAGCATAAAGAGTTCTTGCATCGTTAAATATTTTATTTTACACTATAGATTATTCCATTTTATTCTAAATCATTCATCGAAATATCTGAGCAACAATTCATTAAAACTTATTCCTCTTACATCAGTTCTCATATGCCACAGATTAGGATAGGTTTTTGAGACTTCAATCACACGCTGCACCAGAGAATGTGTGTTTGTCTTCTTATTTATATAGTTTGCTATATTAATCTCGTACTTAGCTGCCGTACTACAGGGTGTGGTTAACATTTATATTTTTAAGTTATATATTGTTTAAACTTTCGTTCCCCACTTTCTTAATAACATCCGATAAATGATGATGTTCTTCTGACCGATTCCGGCCATGGCGGCCAATCTCATTGAGACTAGCCAACTGCGCAGGAGAGATTATTATCGGAGATAGTGTACGCGCAGTCACAAGTGCACTCTCTATTCCTGTCACTCTCATACTCCGGTGGGACGGCTACTCGACAAGACCGGTGAGAGTTACGGCACAGGACCGATGGCTTTACGTGCTTTCCGAGGCATGGGGGTGAAACACCGCCAACTTCCCAACTCCGGGCTGTTACTGAGGCTTACTATACAGAAATACTCAATAACTAAACTTGGCCCGACCCGAGACTCGAACCCAGGACCCCCGGGTGTGCAGCCGTACATGTACATCCACTACACCACCAAGCCGATAAATAATAATACAGTGAAAAGGGAGTGTCTCGGATTTAACGTATTCTTCTTATTCACATTTCTCGATTTTTGTAATGTTTATTTGAATAAACTGTACTATAATAATACTAAATAAATTATGTATTTTTTTGTATCCATATTCATTTCATTGCCATTTTTTTGGTTCCGTGTCCTTGCAATAACTACAATTTAATTGAGCAATAGCCGAGTACACTCCGAGCGGGGCGCTGACATTGATACATACCTGCTTTTATATTTACTTGACTACTTAATACGTACGCATAGCTCATATGGCACTTTGCAAAGTCCGAAATAAGCTATTTAAAAAAAAAGTTTTGTGATTATAATTATGTTTTTTTTAATATCTTCTCGACGACACGTTTGGCTCAGTTTGTAGTGATCCTACTTGCTGTGCCAGCGGTCGCGGGTTTGAATCCCGCTGGGGGCATTCATTAGTGTGATGAGCACGAATGTTTGTACTCTAGTCATGGGTATATATTTATTATATGTATGTATTTAAAGTTATATATATGTAGTGTATCAACTATCTGGTATCCATAACACAAGCTTCGTAGCTTACCATGGAACTCGCTGGTGTTGTGTGTTAATGTCCCAACGTATTTATAACATGTATGTATTTAAAAGTTATATATGTGTAGTGTATCAACTATCTCGTATCCATAACATAAGCCTCGTACCTTACCATGGAGCTAGATGGTGCTGTGTGTTAATGGCCCAACTAATTTATCTTACACATAGAAATAAAAAAGTGACTAAACTCTTGTAACAAAACGACTCAAGATTAATTGTTTATGAATAATGATTTTTATGAGACCAATCGCAAATGAAATTCGACGAAACCATTAAAATTCTAGAAAGATTAAGTAATGTAGCGTAGTAATGATTACAGTTATTAATGCGATTTACATAATCTAAGGTATCGCCAAATGGCATGTAACATACTGTTGTCTTGCATTTACTTAAAGATTATGATTCTGAACATTTATCTATAACTTTGACTTTAGACTCATCTTCTCTCTGCCCATTTCCCAATCACTTGGGGTCGGCGCAGTACAGCTTCTGTACTGCTGATAGGATTTTCCAAAAGTTTAACGACCGGCCGCCTGCCTGACGTCAACCCTCCTTGGGAATGCTGTTGTCTCTCTTTGTCTGAATGGTATCGCGGAAGTCTTATAATTATGGTGCACTTTCGATTTTGTTGTCTTTTATAACATTGTTTATACTATTACTTAAATTTTTAATGTTATTTTTGGATATATTTTAAAATGAATTTTGATTACTCACTAAATTTTGTTTTGACGTTGTCAAATTTTTCTCATCACTTTAGACTCATAAACCTAATTATATTTTCATCAATCAATCAAAAGGATAACTTAGCATTCCTATCCTCGTGCTAATTACATAAATTTAGCCATACGCATAACGCGTGACTGAGCTTATTTGCATTAGATCCGTATTTTAGCGGTACTTTAATTAATTTACCGCTGTTTCATACTTCACATACTTACGAAACACATATGTATGAACGGTGATGTTTCAATTAGATAAGCAATGAGCATGCGCGAGTATAAGTTTACTCGCACATTATAAGTATTTTTGTAGACCAAGCCTCTTGAAAGTAAGTCATAAGACGAGAATAACTTCTACTACTGATTAACTCTTCGCTCAGGTTCGCATCTAGAAAAACAAATCTATCCCACGGGAACCGAACATTTTTCCGGGATAAAAATTAGTCTATGTATTATTCTGATGTATGAGCTATATTATTGTAAAGTTTCATCAAAATCCGTTCAGTAGTTTTTGCGTGAAAGGATACAAACATACATCCATATATCCATACTCACAAACTTTTACATTTATAATATTAGTATACATTATATGCTGTTGCCTTTAATGTCTCAAACAATATTAGAACAACGTTTTTAGAGCAATGTGTTCTGTCGCAATAATATTTTTAAATATTATATTTAACTATGTATCATAAAAATGAACTCCAATAGTTCTACTAAACCTCATTTTTATTACTTTGTTTGGAATCTTAGTATATCTTCATTGCAAAATAATTTGTTTACAAAAACTTGAAATATTTAACCTTTGATATATTGTACAATAACCTTTTGGCTTCCTGTCCGAGCATGTACGTGTGACGTGAGGCAACCTGCGCGGGCGCAGCGCTCGTCCTACTGATCCACATCTTAGTCATCTTGCGTTAAATAATGGTTTCATCTTTAAATTTTCGCTTTCATAATTGAAAATAGCATCTTGACTAATACGT